TTTGCTCTGCCATACATAAAATAAATATCCGTCATTTCAGAATTTGTGTAAAAATTAGCCATTTTTCAGATAACACAAAACTAGACACGGTCCACAAATTCAAGTTGAATACAACAATCCCTGCGTAATTAGATGGTCACATACGGGCGTCCGTGAATGAACTGACTAAGAGACTTGGAAACTGTTATCAACGAATATGAAATAAACCTGGACTCTTTGACCTTTAATGAGGAAACATGCCGAGATGTGTATTGATATGAGCCGAAGGCACATTGAACATTTATTGTAGATTTAATTTATTTTTTACTTTTCACAGAAAAAAATACTTCATAACTCAGAAATAAAAGGTTTTCGGAGTACTGTTCATTAAGAGTTTTTGGTTTGTTTTAACGAATACTACATACCCCTAAAATTTGGCACCATTTTTTGGGAACACCCTGTATACATACCAAATGACTGAAGCACATTTAGGTTAAGATGTATTTATTTCTTTAATACACACATATTAGTAAAATAGAAATAAATCCTTACTTAACTCTATACATCTGCAGAAGACTATACGTTAATTATAATGAAAATAACAATGCACATACTTACTTTTCTATTTATTTCTTAAGAGACGTAAGTATGTACGCACTCTCTTACAATGGTTTTCAGGCCTGGTTCTATTGGCCCTTTCACCTCAGCTTTATGATATGTGGAAGTATGTACGCCATACTAGATTTGAGGCTTTCACGGCCATTGATACAATGTCTAGGTATAGGTTCCGGAATGGAGCCGTGTCTTGAATCAGCGATATGCCGACGTTTCGCAAACGTTGCAGTTTGCATCATCAGGGAACTCTGATACTGAGCTCCCTTGGGTAAAGGTAGTCCTTATATGCCCCCCTCCCCCCCCTTTGTGTAGATGGTGTTTAGGGAGTAGGGGACGAGGCTTGAATCCAGCCAATCAGCGTATTTTAATTGATCAGCTGGTCAATTAAAAAACCGGGAGGGCAGTATGCCAAATAGAGTTTACTTGCATACCTTTGTCTCGGTTGAGGTTGTTGGGATGTTTCAAAATTTCTAGACCTTCACGATGTTTTCTGGCAAAATAACTCTGTGAGGGAGCCAATCTGGTGGCTTTTTCATATTGTACGGAGTGTCCAGTCTCCATCCAGTGTTCAGCTAGGGCTGATTGAGTAAAGTGACCATACTTGGTACATCGCTGGTGTTCCTTGATTCGCGTACTGATCTTCCTCCCGGTTTCTCCTATATAAACTTTACCACAAGAGCAAGGGATCTTATATACACCTGATGTTTCTAGGCATGATTTCTGATCCTTCGGATTTGGGAGTAAATGGGAGAGCTTCCTATGAGGTTTGAAGATTACTTTGATTTTGTGTTTACCCAAAATCCTGCTGATAGGTTCTGTTATGCCCTGGAGATATGGAAGGACAGCCGTTTTTCTCTTTTCTCTCTCTTCATCTAGTGTTTTTAGGACTCACAATTCTGTTCTTCTGGTTTTTTTATTATTTGCGAGATGTTTTTGCTGTTGTATCCATTTTTGGTTAAGGCTGTACTGAGGTGTTCTAGTTCTCCATTCAGAGAAGATGGTTCCGAAATTGTGAGCGCTCTGTAAACCAATGAACTTATGACAGAATTCTTTTGCGAGGGATGATAATGAGAGGTTGCATGTAGATATCGGTCCGTGTGTGTTGGTTTTCGGTAGACCTGGTGACCTAAGGTGCCATCTTGGTTCTTTTGGACTAGCACATCCAGGAAGAGTATTTGATTATTTTGTTCCACTTCCATTGTGAACTGAATACTGAGATGTGAATTGAGAAACCCGAGAAACTGAGAAACAGTTTCCCTACCATGATTCCAAATTAGTATCGTCAAGAAAGTATCGTCCACATACCGAAACCATGTGGATGGTTTCAGTGGTGCGTTCCTCAAAACTTTATTCTCAAAGTGTTCCATAAAGATGTTTGCAATGATAGGAGATATAGGAGATCCCATCACCGCTCTAGAGGTTTGTTCGAAAAACTCTCCTTGAAACTGCAAATAGGTTGAAGTTAAGGAGTGTTCTATTAGTGGGAAGAGGTTGGCAGGAATTTCCTCGGAATTTTTGTTGATGTTAAAGGTATCCTGGACTGGAACATTGGTAAGCAGTGAAACTACATCAAAACTCACCAGGATATCATTAGTATTCATCTTGATTTTTGTGATCTTATTCACGAAGTCTGTTGAATTCTTGATATGGGAATCATTGAGACCAGTAAGTTTCTGGAGGAGTTTGGTGAGATAGCGGGCTAACTGGTAGGTAGGTCCCCCAATATTGCTGACAATAGGGCGTAAGGGCACTGATTCCTTGTGGATTTTTGGAAGACCGTAGAGTCTAGGTGCTGAAGAATCTTGAGGGGTTAAATACTTGATAGTTTGAAGAGTGAGACCTGCATTTTTCAGAAGAGAAGATATTTTCTTCTCTATGCTGGATGTTGGGTTGCGTTTGAGTTTTCTGTAGACTTTTTGGTCTGAGAGTAAACTGTTGATTTTACTGCAATAATATTCCCTGTTCATAACTACAGTAGCGTTTCCTTTGTCTGCTGGTAAAATTAGGATCTTGTTGTTTTGTTTCAGACTGTGGAGAGCTCGGCGTTCTTCTTTGTTTATATTTTGTTTGGGAAGTTTGGCTTTGCCAAGGATGTTGGTTGTTCGATTTCTGATGTCATTGCTTGCCTCTGAAGGAAGGTGGAAAATAGCCGTTTCAATTTGGCTGATGATTTCTTCCGTAGGGATACTAGAAGGAGTGACAGCAAAATTGTGTCCCTTAGCTAGAACAGCAACTTCGGATGGTGATAGGTCTTGATCGCTAAGATTCTTAACTGTATGTGTGAGAACTGGCATTTGAGTCTGTGGATTGATCTTATCATACTTGCTCTTCTGTTTTTGTGTTCTTGCCTCAGCTGAGTGAACAGCTTGTTCGTGAGTAACTCGATCCAGTGTCAGCCACAGCTCAGGCTCCAACGATTTTGCAAGAGAGAGATGTAATTTTAATAGTTTTTGGGATATCTCAGCCAAGTTCTTCTTGGTGGCTGAGATTCGGTCTTTGACTAACCTCAACGACGCTTGTCGTAGAATGCCTTTGGCCTGGTTAGAAGATGGAAATGGGTTTTTTAATTGAAAGCATTTCGGTACTACATGATGGTCGCGGCACCGTTTCAAAAACGCTAGGGAGCATAGTTGGACATGCAAGGACTTTCTGAGTTTGGAAAACAGATTTACCGACCCTAGGATAGCCTCTCCGTGCAGGCTTTTAATACTAGATTTGAGGCTTTCACGGCCATTGATACAATGTCTAGGTATAGCTTCCGGAATGGAGCCGTGTCTTGAATCAGCGATATGCCGACGTTTCGCAAACGTTGCAGTTTGCATCATCAGGGCTGAGAACTCTGATACTGAGCTCCCTTGGGTAAACGTAGTCCTTATATGCCCCCATCTCTTCCTTTGTGTAGATGGTGTTTAGGGAGTAGGGGACAAGGCTTGAATCCAGCCAATCAGCGTATTTTAATTGACCAGCTGATCAATCAAAATACGCTGATTGGCTGGATTCAAGCCTCGTCCCCTACTCCCTAAACACCATCTACACAAAGGAAGGGATGGGGGCATATAATGACTACCTTTACCCAAGGGAGCTCAGTATCAGAGTTCTCAGCCCTGATGATGCAAACTGCAACGTTTGCGAAACGTCGGCATATCGCTGATTCAAGACACGGCTCCATTCCGGAAGCTATACCTAGACATTGTATCAATGGCCGTGAAAGCCTCAAATCTAGTAT